GATTATATTTTGATTTGAAACACCAAATCATATTAAAGTGATATATAATTAGAAAACAATTACAATAGCATTGTTGTTGTAAGAAAATTGAAACGTTAGAAAAGACAACCCCAAACGTTTTCTTTCTTTCTTTCTTTCTGTCTTTCTTTCTAATCTATCCTTCTGAATTCAAAAAGTTAACCACAAATCCGAATTCTGAAGCATATATTATATTGGGCTGTCAAGCAAATTCGTTATTTTTTTCTAATATTTTTATTGCATTATGTCTTATATATGTGAATAATATTAACTATTAATTCAAGTACATTGGCAAGGGAGGAGATTACGTTGAAAATATCTGTTGTATAAAATAAATTAAACTACAAACTTATTTATTCTCCTACGTTTACATCAATCTACAGATGTGGGAGATTGTAATATGAAGACGGCGTTACGCCAAACTTGCAGATATTGAGAGACTGCCGCTTCAGAGATTCAACAGTTGAAATTCTGGATTTTGTCTCAAGTCGAACACCGACCACTGTTACGAACAGGAAATAGTTAACTATTTTCAGTCATGAGACGGGCCACAACTGATCGTACGTCAAACTGAAAATATCACGTGAAGTCATAATTTGCAAAATGGCTTTTCGAAATCGATTACAGTGTGCCTTTCTTTTGCTCAGTGATATATATATATATATATATATATATATATATATATATATATATATATATATTATAATTTTTTCATATAAACAAAACAGTTTACTCACTACAAAGATGCAACTTCGTTTCAATGCATTTCAATTGCACCTCGACTGGTGTAAACCAAAATGAGAATTGTTCATAACCATTTTGGTTCTCACCAGTCGAGGTGCAATTGAAATGCATTTAAACGAAGTTGCATATTTGTAGTGAGTAAACTGTCTTTGTCTATTTGAAAAAAAATATAATAAATAATATATGTGTGCGTGTGTGTATGTGTGTGTTTAGACTTTATTAATAGTACAATTTAACAAGAGCAAACGATTTTAAAATGTCTGGATTTTGAAAAATCGGGCTGATGGGAGAAAAACAGTAATTTGAGAAGTTATTCAGTGCTGATCTGATCAGCTTAAATTTAAAAAAAAAAAGCAGTAAGAATATATTTATATAATTATAAAATTAGTGATTTGTATCCTGATGACGTCAGATAAAACAGAGCAAGTGTATTAAAAAAAGAAAAAAAAAAGAAAGAAAGAAAAGATTAAAAAAAAAAAGTCGTTAAGATTTTGCAGTAACCCCCCCCCCCAAACTGAGCCTTTACGGTGCGCGGCACACGAATCCAGATTGTCGGTCTACTTTTGTACACACTTGAAGGCAAGGAATAGTTTCCTTACCCCATTTGAATGACCCCTAACAAACTGGGTGAGATCTCCTCGTCACATACTGACCTTTCCCCCGTTCTCCATGGGCTGCCCAATGAACACACACCAATAAACGTGACCTCCGTTCGAAATATTGTTACCGCTTTTTACCAAAAAAAAAAAAAAAAATAAAATAAAATAAAATAAAAAAATAATAATAATGTCTCACTTAAACAAACAAAACAAAACGTTTCTTGTTTTTTCCTTATGATATTTGCATTCATATAAATGGAATGTCTTTATGGAAACGCCATTTCTTTTCATGTAATGTAATTGGTTTAGTAAATTTAATTACGAAGTGGAATAACATTTAAACTTAGTGACAGGAATTCAATGAAAATATTTAATCGATATAATCATTTGAAGACAATATTCGCTCCTGACTGAATTTGGCTTTCTAGTGTATATTCTGATGTATAAAGCTACTTGTCAGAATTTACCCTTGGATCATTTAGATGTTTACCCTAAGTTCAACCGATTTCTCTTTTTATTACACACATTTTTAGGCAGGAAAATACGAAAAGGAAATCCGGGTTTCTTTTTGTACCGACAGTTTTCTTGAAAGCTTATTTCAGTACTTTCCTTTTACTTCAGTCAGTCAGTCAAGTCGCGTACGTGAAACACGCTTTGGTGATCATGTCTCTTTCGACTCGTGACTGACTAGGCGGAAGATTTTCCTGCTTGCCGTTTCTTTCTGCGGTAGAGCAGATGCCAGCTAAGGCTATAGGACCCAGCCAGTCCTGCCATTCAATCCAATAGCTGGAGGTGGGGAAATAGCTGTATTCATATTTTTCCCAAAAGTATTTGCGCGTAAGTGAATGTAAAGAACCCAACACGAATTCGAACTCGGCTTTCCGATTTCTCATTCTGGGTTTTTATCCATTACACCCCAACGAACTTCCTTCCTATCCTATCCTTCCTATCTATCTATCTATCTATCTATCTATCTATCTATCTATCTATCTATCTATCTATCTATCTATCTATCTATCTATTTTTTTTACTTACAGTTTATAATAAAATATTTGTTTGTTCATATTATTTTTAAATACCTTTCTTTTAAATTTATTATTTATTAACTACGGAAGCGGTTTTCTGATTTAAGAAGGGACAGATTGATATGATGTCCCAAACTGTTTTTTATACGATGTGTTTGTTGATTGTACGATCAGCCAAATGTTATTTCACATCGAGTATGATATGGAGGCACATGTTGAGCATCGACCTCACTAACAATGGCTAACTAGTGTGGTTTCACTAACTTTTGAGATGAGACGTTTTATAAGCTGGGAAACAATACTAATTCTTAATTATGTCTAAAGAATATGACTAATACGGGAGAGTTATTTTGGTTGTTCCTCGTTTGGAATAAGAACTTAATTCTTGTACAGTGTAAAGAACAAACAGACGAAAACCTTTAAGCTTGCGATTAAGCTTTATTCAGTGCAGTTTGACTACTGCACATAAATGAGTTTCGACCATTTCTTTTATAGTAGAGAAGTTCGTGTTAAGGGGAGGCAACTATGATTGCTTTCACCACACACGTTTGAATAATAAATCTCACCAGTTTAGCACTTTTGTTGAATATCAACGTCTCCTAACTGCTCACAGGCGCGGATATATTTTGTGTGGAAGAGAAGGTAAACTAGATAATTCTTTTAAATTTGTCTTACTTTTAGACTTGTGTTATTTATTAAGTTTAACTTAACTTTCCAGTTCGGATTTCCGGAATTTTTTTTAACATTTAATGCGGATCAATAAAGACAAGTACTCCCTTAATAATGTAATGAACCAGCTTAATCAATGTGTGCGATTCCAGTTTGAAAACCAAAATTATATAATTTATATTTCTTTGTCCGAGAGCTACTTAAAAAATTCGCAGGGATAACGCAAAAGGTTTTATAATTATTCCTAATGCACTCTGCGAGGAATGCGCCAAACGCAAATCCGAGAGAATTAGACCAATTTTTCTTTTCCCTCTTTGGGGTTCCATATTAAAAAATAAAGACCTTATATCGCATTCAACCTAGATAAGAAAAAAAAAACTGTAAATACTATTGATACTATACTGTAAATAGTGAAATTCAATTTTCCCACTTTTTAACAAACTTTAGTCTTAGATATATTTACAAATTGGCTTAGTTTAAGTTTCAGGCAGATCAATACAAATGGAGACAGCTGCTAGTTGCTTTTAAAATGGCGAACTCATGAAAGAACATTGTAGGTGAAATTCTGTGAAAGTTAAATTCTTTACAAGTTTTAGGTGTTCTTATGTTGTTAATTTAGATAATGATTTAAGTCAGTTCATAGATGGTGATGAAGGTAGTGATTGCTATGAATGTACGAGTACTGTTGTGGAATCATTTGGATAAAATGGCGCCGCATATTGGCATTAATAATATTTAGGAATGTAGGTGGAAAAGAAAAAGAAAATTTAAAAAAAAGGAGTAATATCGTCTGAGAAATGAAAAATATCCCAGAAAAGTTGACAAAAAAAAAAAAAAAAAAAAAATAGCGGCATTGAAATCGGAACGGAGAACAAGTTTATCGATAACCAAAGCAAGATTTATGAAAAAAAATATTTAAAAAAAATTTTTTTTGACATCAAATATAATTCTATTTTTGATATATTGAAAGAAAGGTTTAGTAATTGTGTTTTGTGTTATTTATAGTTTACAACTATAGGGAAATAAAAACTTTATAGTTTACTAATTGTTGATAGAGTTTTTCGATAGGCAATATTTTAAATGATTAAAAATTCCATTTACAGTGATTCATAATTTTATAATAAAATGTAAAAAATGAATAAAACCTTATGACAATCCGTAAAACCCTAATATCTCTACTTATAGATATACATAACAGTATATACAAGTGTATGCATCCATGTAAATGAAAATATTTGCATAGTGAATCAGGTGTTTTTATATTTGCATACTGCCAGATAGTATAAAACCCACTCTAGTCAAAATAAGCCATTAATGCAAGATTTGAATTTGAGTTATTTCCCTTGAATACTACTTCTACTACTACTGATAATAGTAATTACAGTAATAACGAGTCAGATAATAGATTCCGCTGAACACGGAGGAAAATGAAATGAAAGTTCGATAAGCATCTTGGTCTCACTAGAAAACTAAAGAAATAGGGCAAAATAAATACGACAGATATTCCAGTCGTTGTTGGAGAACTGGGGACATTCTTGAAAAGCTGGAAGAAGTGGTAAGTTAATGAATAACTCAGGGCCTCTGGAGAATGGCATTAGTGAATGGATGGGGATAGTTGAAAGAACTACGAAGTATCCAGGTAACTTGTTATGATTTCATTTCCAGTATAAGACACCAGTCATTTGCGGCGTGAATTTGTAATAAAGCATTTGTAATAATAATAATAATAATAATAGTGCACATTTGTTTTTGAGGCATGAGCTCAGTATTCCCTATCAGACTCTGTGTCATGATGAGTATATTGGGCTTCGGATATTAATGATCCTGCGTTGGTATGTTGTTCGTACTCAGCAACAACAATAGCAAATCTCAAGAACACCTGGTAACATCAACAATCCCTGTAGTGGTTGGAGCCCTCGGATTGGTTGGAAAAGATTCCAGTAGACTAATTGAAGGGATTCCTGGAAGCCCATGCCTCAAAGAAACACAAAAAATTGTTCTGACAAGTACAGCTCACACTTTACGAAGGGTTTTATCTATGTAAAATTATTTTTTTGTCTGGAAAGTGTCATGATGCCATTTCTAACCTTAAGGTCCCTGTGCGGGACCTGGAAAGAAATGTGTACACGCCAGAAATCAAAGGAAATAATAATAATAATAATAATAATAAATACAAGATATCGCCGTGTGATATGAGTAGGATAAGCTTTCCAACGATGGCAAATAATCCTTCTCGAGATAGTGACTCAAAGAAAACATCACTTGGCAGTATAGGTTCAAACGCATTAAAACCGCTCGAATTGATCGTCGCCCCGGGTCGAGAAAGGCGGCGTCATCACAGAGAAACCGGTCTGGGACCAAAAGAAAAAAAAATCAGCTACTGATTGAAACCTTCCCATACAATCGGGGTTCGAAGATATCGATGGCAGGAAACGTCCTAATGATGAACCCACATGGTCAAATCTACCCGTGTATAGACTCAAACGTGAAAAAAGAGTCAAGGGATATTAACAAACAAATCATAGAGGGCCTGTTTTCACAAAAGTGGGTTTTCTATCAATGTCATAAAAGACCTGAAGAGAAACACGTGAAATGAAGGTCTAAAAACCCGACAACAAGACCATATATTGATAGGAATAAATTAACAAAGCCATTGAGGTTTCTGTTTGAAACAAGAGGTCCGTTCGTATAATAAACAAACCGATTCCAAACATTAACATTTCTGTTTACTTTTTCTCTTGGATATAAGAGGGAATTTGTGAAAACCGTTTGCTTGTTTCATTTATTTCCTGGTCAACGTTTCGCTCTGGACAAGCATCCTCAAATCAACTTAAAAACTTGAGCTAACTTTCCTACTGTGGTTAATTTGGAAAAAAAAAACAAACAAAAACAAAAAAAAAACAGACACAGATAATAGAATTAAAAAAAAAAGAAATATCTGTGGACAAATCGTTGAAATTTGTACATAGGAAATATGTTCAAATAAAATGTAACTATGGTGATTTGATATCGGACAATAAAAGTCAAGGGCGCGTAAAATTAATCTTGTATATCTAAAGAAAATAGTAACTTATGTATTGTAATTTATGATATTTTTAGGTTTTAGAGAAAATATAGAATTTAATTAAAATTCATAAATAAAATTTTTATTAAGATTTTTAATCTGTATCTATTTTCACATTATTTACCTTAAACATTATGTTAGTCTTATAAGCTGCTATCGTATAAAAAATTATTGAATAATCGATTTGCCTAGTGATATAGCTGGTTCAATAATTCTTATAGATTTCCTTAATTTACCTTTAAAAAAAGGGGAAAAAATAAATTCTTTGCGTTTGGCTTGTATTCAGAGCAAGTGATTGATGTTGGAGAACAGAGGTCGGGTCGTGTTATGATCATTTTTTTTTAATTAAGAGGAGAGTGATACTCACCTATGAGAGGTAGGACGTCCGATGTCGGTGGCATCTTTTCGGCCACTATCATTAAAAATACAGTCATGGACAGAAGTGTGGTAATTCCCATGGATATTTTCTCCCCGGAATCGGAGGGCATGTAGAAGCCGAGCAAAGCCACCAGAGTTATTAAGATACAGGGCATGACCATGTTAAATAGATAGAAGAGAGGTCTTCGCTTAATAAGTATATGGTAGTGAATAATTATGTAAGGCTCGTCGCAACAGGAAAATCGGAAGACGTTCCGCTTCTGTTGGAAGCCAGTCAGTGACCATTCGGAATTTTCGATGTAGTTCGATACGTCGCCGTCATCCTCGCCGTTGGTGAGCACGTTCACCTGGTAAGCATCATAGGTCCATGAAGCGAACTGCATGGAGCAGTTTTGTTCGTCAAACGGGAAGAACTTCACGTCGATGGAACACGAACTCTTAAAGATGACCATAGACAGCCAGGTGACGTTTCCCTCGCTGGTGACGATCACGTTGGTACTAATGGACGATTCGAACGCCTTCACGTCAGCGCTGTAGATGAAAAAACAACGAAGTAGAAATTAAATTAGACTGTAATCTTAAATACGCATGCGCGTTAACGCCGAAACACACGCACACACACTCGCACTGTAACAAACTTGAAAAAAAAATAGTAACCGATTCGATCCCCTTTTGCAAAAATCGACTTCAGCCAATTAAAAAAAAAAAATTATATATTTATATCTGTTTTTTTTTTTATGGGAGCCAGAAGAAAAAAAATGATTGATTGTCATTTTCTTTTCATATTTGAATAAAAATTTAATTAAAATTATTATTTTTTTTTGTTTTGATGGCTTATATTTCTGTCTCTTAATAAGGTAATTCAATTTGTTTTTCAATGGAGACCTTTTTTTTCTCCCGTGATACCGGATGTTATCAGACGCGCATGCGGAAAATACTTATACCTGAGGACGTCGATTGAAATGATGAAAATGTCAATAAGGAAGCGACTGGTAATAATCATAAAAATAGTTTATATTTAATATACATAACAGCAAAAACAGAAATAAATAGAAATGAAAAATAGAAAAAAATGTAGTTAAAAAACTGTAAATAAAACAATTTCATAGTATTTTTATTCTTATACTGTATATTCCCACGTCCTGATCATTTACCATTGTATAGAGTTGAATAAATAAAAAAGACCTTTTCACAGACTAATGTAGTGAGATCGATTCTCATTGGATATCTGACAGTTGTGGTCTTGTACAACAGTTAAAGGGAATACAGTAAAAATCTCTACGAACACTCGTGCAAATAGCACACAAATCATCACCTTCTTTCTAGACTAGAAGTATCATGTGAATGCATTTAATACTAAATCATAAGCTGGCTTGAAAAAACATCTTCGTTTCCACGGCAAAAAAAAGCATTCTACGACAAGCTGCATTTGTTCGTTTGATTCCAAAAACAAATGCAGGCCGAGGAAGTCATTCGATAAAAGAACCAGATAACAGTTAATATAAGAAAATGCTCATGCTCTAAAATGAGTGAATAGCGATCATATATATATATATATATATATATATATATATATATATATATATATATATCAATGATAAGATAAAGAAACAGATTTTTTTTAATAAGATCCATACTTAAAGAATCTAAGATATGTCTATCTACTACTATAACCATTGCAACAGGTGTTACTTAAAAACAACCCGGAATCAACATGCGGAAAACCACCAAACATAAATAAAATGCCTACTAGATACACGAACACACACACACGCACACAAACGAATATACATTATCATTCGAATCTCGCATAGACAAACTAGAATCATGATACACTTACACAAATATTACGCACGGACGCTGTTTGACAAAACAAATGTACATAATACAAAATACAGTTTAAATGTATGCTAGATTTATGTTTATATCGAGGCAACACACAAAACGCATTTTATCAGCGAAACATGTCAAATAGATATTTTGCAAATTGTCTTATACGTTCATTCTTACATCAGGGTTTTCATGCAAATTTACTTATATATATATATATATATATATATATATATATATATATATATAAATTAATTGATTTAAAATATGTTTTTTTCACAAGTACACAGTTCTAAATCATGTTTCAAAATGGAAACTAAAAACATGATTATATATCTTACTGTTCTTTATATATATATATATATATATATATATATATATATATATATATATATATATATCTGTGTGTGTGTGTCTGTGTGTATTAAAATACGCCAAAAATCAACAGAAGTAAAATCGCAGGTGAAAGTGTGGGAATTGAATATGAAGACAGAAACTTGTAGAAAGTGAGAGCCTGCCTGTTCAGAAAATCAATTGCTGAAATTCTGAATTTTGCCTAGATTCGAACTTTGCCTTATATACCTAAAATATATATTAACAATTATTATCATCATTATATTTCGATTGTTGCTATGGCCACACTACCTAGGAAGTCTGCTGGAAGACCTAAGGTAGGTAGTGGTTTGTTGTTATGGCTCCATCTCATGATTTGTTTTTCGAACTCCCATAAGATCGTTTCATGGACAAAGTTGTTCTTAATGTGTCGGCTGTAACTATCAAGACAATTTTTGTATTTCTCTTAAACTGGGATTTCCAAGGGTTTTTGAACGTGTTTTTGTATTCCTTTTTTATCATTCCAAGTGCACCTACTATCACTGGTACTATTTCTATTTTCACTTTCCACATTTTTTTTCTATTTCGATTTCCATGTCTTTATATTTCGATAAGTTTTCAAATTCCTTGGTTGATAGGTTACAGTCTTCTGAGCAAGCCATACCAACTAGTTGGCAAATATTTTCTTTTCTGTTTTTTGACAATTATGTCCGGTTTATTTGCCTCAATCTTCCTGTCTCTAAAAATGTTGTTGTTATTATTATTATTATTGTTATCTATCTATCTATCTATCTATCTATCTATCTATCTCTCTTCATCATCTCATCATCTATCTATCTATCTATCTATCTATCAAAGTCTCTCTATCACATTCATCTATCTATCTATCCATCTATCTATCTATCAAAGTCTCTTCATCTATCTATCCATCTCATCTATCTATCTATCTATCTATCTATCTAAGTCTCTTCATATCTATCTATCTATCTATCTATCAAAGTCTCTTCATATCTATCTATCTATCTATCTATCTATCTATCTATCTATCTATCAAAGTCTCTTCATATCTATCTATCTATCTATCTATCTATCTATCTATCAAAGTCTCTTCATATCTATCTATCTATCAAAGTCTCTTCATATCTATCTATCTATCTATCTATCTATCTATCTATCAAAGTCTCTTCGTATCTATCTATCTATCTATCTATCTATCTATCTATCAAAGTCTCTTCATATCTATCTATCTATCTATCTATCTATCTATCTATCTATCTATCTATCTATCTATCTATCAAAGTCTCTTCATATCTATCTATCTATCTATCTATCTATCTATCTATCTATCAAAGTCTCTTCATCTCTATCTATCTAGATACGCATATACTTATTATATAAACAGTACTGGGATTCCAGTTTTATTAAAAAGAAAGCCACTGAAATTTGGGTCAATTTTAAAATTACGAAATCCGAAAGAACACAAAAAGAGAAACCAGTAAGCAGTGTCAATCCGTCAGAGATTATTTTCTCAAAATCCATTGATTTGACTGAAAATTTTGGAGGGAATTAAGACGATTAAGCTTAAGCAGAGAATGTGCTTTTGGCTTTAAACAAATACGCGAGCAATATACATATTCGTCTCACATATTTATTCATGTTTATCTATATGCATATGCGCCCACACACAAAATCTCGCATATTCACATCTATACATCGATGAGTTTACATCGGCGATACTTCATTATGAATCAACATTTTTATTTTTTGCTTCGCTAAAGGCAACACAAGACAACACAGGCATATATGATTAAGCCGATTGTAAAAAATAAATAAATAAGTAAATATGGTAACCAAACAAAATAATAATGAAGACAGTCGAATTTGTGGCCGTGAAAGATTATGGCAGACGATAAAAACATAAATTTGAAAAATCTGAAACTTCGTCAATAATTATGACTAAATTATGAAATATACATATGCATTATTATTTTTTGACAATGATGTTCATCCTGTATAAGGCCCAAGAACCACTCGAGGTAGAGGATTACAGAGTAAGAGGTAAAGTTTATGTGCCCTAGATATTCCAACTGTTTCTTTCTGATGTTAAGTACAATGGTAGGTAATATATGGGATATATATATATATATATATATATATATATATATATATATATATATAATTACATGAATTATTCATACAAAAAACAAATATAGAGGTTAATGATTTAAATGGCGAGAATACATCTTAGCAAACAATTTCAATAAGTTACACTAACCCCGAACCTGTACATGAATGATTTGATCCCTGTTTATAAATTCCAGTTTCATAAGGTCTTTTTTAGTTTTACAAGCTTTCGTCTGTACCTACGGACATCCTCAGGTATGGAAATAGATTTGTTCTTGTTTTTACTTCTCGGTAATAAGAGGACAACGAAAATATAGATGTAATCCGAAAAAAAGCTATGAGAAATGTGTTATTGTTTTGGAACGTGCGGTCACAACGCTGAGTTTGAATTTTAAATTTTAAGATTGTGTGTTTTTGTACAAATATAGTAATAAGAGAATTCTTTTGTACTAGTAGGTTTTTCCGTCAATGTGGCATGAACTATATTGTTCAATAATTACAGAAATGTCACACTTATTATCCGAAAGTTGCACGTTGGATCAGTTATTTTAATTTCGATTATAGGTGCTGTTCAACTTATAATTACATGAATCATTCATACAAAAAACAACTATATATATATATATATATATATATATATATATATATATATATATACTCAGGTATCGCGCGACCCCCAGATTTTCACTGGTAAAAAATGATTTTATCATGTATCTCGTGTATAATGCGAGTCCCTTTTTTGAGAGACCAAATTACAATAGACTAACCTCTTTTCCTCTATCTCTTTATCTCATCGTCTAGTTAAATAAGTCAAAAGAGTAAAAAAGAATGTTCGTATCTATCTATCTATCTATCTATCTTTTTATCTATCTATCTAAGCCTGTTCATATCCATCTACGCCCTTTATTATCTATCTATCTGTCTATCTATCTATCTCAACTTTCAAATGTTAATTCAAACTTTGAATAAGTCTTTAACCATTCTTTAAGTGATAAGTCACTCTTCAAGAGGATGCCGGGATAATCAAATTCAGTGTAGGGAGTAACTCTCCATTTAAGAACTTTTCTAAATTGAATAGCGGCAAAAGATAAAAATGTCAACAGAAATAAACTTTGCTCTGCAAGAAACTCACTTAAAAGCAGAAGTGGTTTTTATTGATTTTGTCCAAGAAATGAGCTTTTCATTTAATTCATTCTAATTAAATTATATTTCTTTCATTTCTTTTATGGAGTTTATTAATGTCTAATTTATTTGCTTTTTTTTTTTAAAATTCTATATTTTCCCCGTTTCTTTCATTGAATTAAGAAGCATTAAAAATAATCTTTCATGCCTGACAGAGTGAAATAAGATGCTTCTATAAGACACTTTCACAACAAAGTCAATTTTTGACGATCCTGATTTGAAAAAAGAGAAAGGGAAAAATAAAGACAGAAAGAGAGAGAGAGAGAGAGAGAGAGAGAGAGAGAGAGAGAGAGGTGGGGAGAAATGAAGGAAGAAAGAGAAATAAATTAATTTGAAATAAATTGAATCCAATAAAGCTAGAACCACTTGCCCATTCGAGACACTCAATTCCCGCCAAGCCAACCGACAATAGAAATAGTCACCCAAAACAGAGGTTTTCTTTTTATCGATACAACGCATCTAAAAGCCTTCTCAAGACCTCCACTTTTGGTTCTGACGAGAACAAACAGCTGTCCCCATACTAGGTGGGGCGTC